CTGGCCGTATAAGCTGCGAAGTGGCCGTGAGAATGTAATATTTGGGGATATAAGGGCGGGGAGTAATTTCTCAGGCTTGGCTTGGCTGCTTTCACAATTCATTCTGGAAATTAGATAGGGAAATGCTGCTAAACCTGTTCACCCCTGGTACACGCATTGTTAAGACCTAAGGATGCTGTAGTCAGTGCAAAATACTTCGAGAGGTATGGCGTGGCTGGGCAGTTTTTAAGATGCCTCTGGAAATGGAGAAGTATATTTAGTTATTAAGGGCAACAGTTAAGCAGTGAAGGATGGATAGATGCAACTGAAAAACATCAGAAGATGGGTTAGAGCAGGGGTAGGCAACCTTGGCTCTTTTATGACTCGTGGACTTCAACTCCCAGAATTCCTGAGCCAGCTGTGCTGGCTCAGGAATTCTGGGAGTTGAAGTCCACGAGTCATAAAAGAGCCAAGGTTGCTTACCCCTGGGTTAGAGTAAGAGAAAAGTAGTATTTATACAACTATTGATCAGTCTTGTTCTGGAAAATAGTCTGGGCCAAGGAAATAATGTCTTTGTTTATTTCATTTTTAACTATTTTATGAGAGGACTGCTTTGGATTTCTATGGTTCTTGGTCTGTATGATCAATGTCTGTTCAAGATTTGAGAAATGCCATGGTTATTTTTTTTTAATAGGTTCGTGGTATGCTGTTTTTAAGAGATAATAAAATCATCTAAACGTTTCATATATAATACTCATATACCATTATAGGGATATGTAAAAATTAGCTTGGTTAAAACTATTACATCAATGCTGAAAATTACCTTCCTGTTGTTACAGAATAGCAAATTTTCAGTCATATATTAAAGATAAACTATTTGCACTGATTAAACAATAGTGATTGTTTTTGTCAATTTGTTGTCATGAAGTCCAGTATCTTTGCCCATAGTGATACATAGTAGTAGTTGTTGAAAATGTGCTGAGTAGCCAGAGAAGCACAGAAAATAAAAACCAGGAAATGTTTTTTTCTGAATTCCTGTAAATCAAGATAGTACTGCAATAAAATGTAGTATATTGAATGTTTTTAATTTGAAATAATAAAAATAACTGCTAATAGGGAAGTAGCTATGTATTTTAAATATGTATTCCGTGTTCTGATGAAATGTTTGATATTAATGTTGATACAGTCTTTTACAGTATGTCTAAAATCAGTTCCACCCAATACTTTATTTAATCATGCATTTTGTAACTCATGGGGTGGTGGAGTAGATCCTCTCTAGTGTCTGGTTTTTAGCACTGACAGATTCTGAAATGATTATATGCCTGTGTCTATAGACATGTAGAGGGACTTCAAATAGACAGAATAATTTGTTTTATGTAAAACATAATCTTTAATTCAAGAATTTAGGGATACCTTAATAGAATAGTGTTATTTTTAGTATTAAGGTCATCACTAAATAATCCAGAATGTGTCATTTCTTCATGTTTTCTTTCAGCTTTCAATGTTGTTGTTTCCATGTGTCCTGTCTCACACTGACTATGAAGGGGATTTCCAAAAGGAGCAATTTAGTTTATGTCAAATGGAGATTTAGTTACAGATCTCAGATGTAATGTTAAAGAGTGTATTGATATGAAATAACTGTAAATTTTATTTCTATGTTTTTCCCAGCCTGTTAGAAACAGATTCAATTTCCATAATAAAGATAACTTTTTTCTATTACCAAAGGTATATTTGTAGGTGGAGAATAAGAATGTTCTTTGTCAGTATAGATAAAAAAGCAGATTCATATATAGTCCTAGAAAATATGTACAGTATGGGATACTAAAAGCCCTTGAAAGGCAAGCTTGATTCTCAAAAGGCTTCAAATCTAGAATTTTTAATATAAACTTAATATCAAGATTTGATTTGATTTGATTTGGGATAGCAAGTAAGAGGTGAAATTAATGTTTAGATTGCAAGGAATGATTGCTCTAGCATTATTACACTAACAATATACAAGTTTTTATTCAGTTGGTGTCCACTCATATTAAGTAGTAAATTAGGATAAGATTTTCCATAAAGATATTATGTTAGCCATCAGATGGGAAGAAACTTGCTTCTGTTTATTAATGCTTGAAAAAAATTGTATCTTATTACTGCCATGAAACACATGGAAGAAAGGTAAATCAGCAACAAATAGCACAGATTTCTAAGGAATGTGAATAATTAGGTATTTGGAGAGAGAATAAAACAGGAGTGCAGTAGATCAGGGATCCCCAAATCCCAGTCTATGGACCGGCACCAGGCATGCCAAAAACCGGGCTGTGCAAACAAGTAAAGCCCCATCTGTGGGATGCAGGCAGCAAGTGAAACCATGCCCCCTCCAGCTCACAGAAAAACCTCTCTACAGAACCGGTCCCTGGTGGCCAAAAGGTTGGAGGCCACTGCATAGGTCATTCCACCAAATCACTGCAGTTTCATTCTCTCAATTTATGTTATATTTTTTTGGCATATAGAAAACACTCATTTTATATGCATATATACATATACATACACACATGTGCGTGTGTGCGTGTGTGAATCATAGTTATAGTTATCTTTGTGTGTGTGTCTGTAATTTCATTAGTATCTGGATCACAGGCTTGTATTTAATAATGGGACCTATCAACATACTACTTCATGCTGTGTTATTGTTTAAATCATAACAATTTAGAATCCTTAAGTTCTTCAAATTCTTTTCCATCGTACTTAGTATAAGCAGACAAAAATAAAAATCTGATACTATGAACCAGGATGGATATGTCAGAAAATTTAAGCAGTTCATCATTTCAGCATCAACTTGTTATTTGTAGAAAGTTTAGGCACTTCTAAACTGTACCATTTAGCCTGTGTTCAGAGTATTCATGAATTAGTGTTTGGTTTCTTGGAGAACAGTCACTAATTCAAAGGCTGCATAGATGTGCAGTCTCTGTCTCCAATGGCTTTGTTGTTTGGTATCACTGCTGGCTATTTCCCAAAACAACTGAAAAATCACGGGGTGTGTGTGTGTGGAGAACAAATGGCGGAGAATGAATGATAGAAGAACAAAAAATTACCTGTCTGTGGCTAGAATGTTTATCAAACCTTACCTAATTTTATAGTTCTTAACTATAAACATAATCCATGAGAAATAGTGTATGTAATTATTGTCTCTGAAACTTTTGGGGAAATTTCAAGTAGTAAAACTATTAAAAGTGTGTGTAAAAGCGGAAATATGAAAAATGTGTCTATAAAACTTGGTGTGCATGCACACACACACACACACACACACACATACACACACACAAACATGTGTCTATTGGGGGCCTGGCCTTGGTCAAACTGTTGACAACTTTAGCCCAACTTCATTGTTTTTGAGATCACTAAGAAACTCACAATTCAATTCCCAGAGGAAGGTAATGGCAACTCACTTCCATATTGTATCCCAGAAGACAATATCATCATATCCATGAAGCCACCAGAAGTTTTGTGTTAACACTTAAATCTCCTAGTTGATAGATATTTTAATTTTTTGTCTTATGTGTATGTAATGCTTAACAAACAAATATTTAATATTATTTTTTTGAAGCATTTAATCGGATTTCCAAATATGTCCTGGGGTTGATATTTCATTTTTCTAATATCAATTAAGAACTGATTTTTTTTCTGCTTTTGATACACAATTTGTATGTTTGTACTTCTTGCATAGAAAAGATACTTTGTTTTGCTCTATATGTGTGTGTGGGGGGGAATAAAATGCACAGTATTGATACTGTGTGTTTGCATACCACAAGATGCAAATGCTATCATTCTGAAAAGAAATCACCCAGTATTTTGACATATGTGAATATTTACTCTTTCTAAGAGTTTTTCCCAGAATGAAACAATCTAAAAATGTATTAATTTGTTGGTTTAAATTACTTGGCAATTGATTGCTTAATGAAAAATAAGGTAGTTTCTTATTTTTAATTATCTGCTAGTAATTTTAAAAACTTTAGTAACAGTTTTTAAAAAGGTCATATCACGTTTTTAATAATTATAACTCTCTTGGAACATAGTTTCTAAAAACTAAAAGAAACCCCTTTTCTGCTGAAAAGTAAAAATTTAGTTGTTTTTTAAAAAAAAGTACAGTTTTTTTTTAAAAAGTAGTTTGTATTGCTATTTATTTTATAGAGAAATGATTTCATTATAGAATGTGTTTGAATTATAGTAACTTTAAAATGAGTATATAAAAGGGTTTCATAGAAAAGTTGAGTTTTCCAACTATACCTAGACAATCTTTGTTTATTAATATTTGAAATAATAATAATAATAACAATAACAATAATAATAATAATATAAAGTTGGAAGGGACCTTGGATGTCATCTAGTCCATCCCCCTGCTCAGGCAGGAAACCCTATACCATTTCAGACAAATGGCTGTCCGGTCTCTTCTTAAAAACTTCAGTGTTGGAGCATTCACCACTGATGACAGTTTAAATGTGCTGTTACAGTGGATTTTACATAGGCATAATAGTAAAAAGAATCATAATTGTGCTTCATTTGAAGAAGAATCTCTGCTAAGACCATCAATAATTCTTTTACTCTCCCTGCCTTTCAGAATTGGAAATTTGAGTTAATATTTTACTATAACTTCTGTATGGTAATCCATTTAATTCATTGGAACTCAATAAAATGATACTTTTAATATTCTTATATACTCAGTGCTTATGTTTAAAAGCACCACAACTAGAAAAGTATTACACCTCAAGCAAACACAACTGCCTTTTCATTTTTTTCAGGGTCTGTGTGGAACAATACAAATATTTGCAAAAAGGTGATGGTATCTGTGGAGCAGTTTAAATGCAATAAACTCTTTCTGAGATAATCTGCCCTAGCAAAGACTATTTTTCTAAAAGACAAAATAGCTTTTAGAAACCTTGAAGTGGAATAAGAATCAGTTTGTCTTGTCTACTTTATATTCCTTTAAAGATTTTAAATTATTTGTGTAAATGTAGATTGAGTCCAATGTGCATATGAATGCATGTGTTCTATCCAAACCAGCTACGTATACATTTCTTTATGAGCATATGAGAAAAGATGGGGTTCCCCCCCCCCAAGTAGCTATAATTGTAATGAAAAAGGAAAAGTACTTAGAAAAGGTTAAAATGTCATTGTTACAATTATGGGTATTGTGTTGCATTCTTTAAAAAGCTTGATATACAAACAGTATTTGGCTAAACTTCCAATTTTTTTTTTCAGGTATTCAAGATGAATCTTGAAAAACTCAACAAAGCTGAATTACTGACACTTTTTAGTATCCTTGAAGGTGAATTAGAAGCCAGAGATCTTGTCATAGAAGCTTTAAAGGTAACCCATAGATATTAGGAAAGATGCAATACAGCAGTTCTGCTATATAAATATTATGTAACAAATCCTGTAGTAAGAGTCTGTACCTTGGCATTTGATTGACAGCAAAAATAAATAATGTAATGAATGAGCATCTTGATGATTATGCAAAATAAGGACATCATACTTTAATCAAAAATATTCTCCATCATACTAAAATAGTAAGACTTGGAACTTCTTGTTCTCAATGCCATCAATGAGTTTCTGTTAAAGAGAAGATTTGATAAAAAAAAACCAACATGTTTCTCAACAGGCAGGAATAATAATATAGATTCCTGTTCTACTTCCATTTAAAAATGGTTTCTCTTTATCTTCTAACAGTATTTTTGTAATTCAGTTGATGAGTTTAGGGTTGAATATTGAAATATATGGATAGTCCTCATAATGATATAGCTTGGCTTTTGCTGGAGTCTATTGAAATTTTAATTACAGTATTTGCTTTAAACATGGATTAATATCCAAATTGTATGGATATCCATGTTTAATGGATATCCATACAATTTGTGTATTTTCTTTCTCTCCCCCTCTCTCTCCCTTCCTCCCCCCCCCTTATATTATTGTGATAAAGACTTTACAAATTGCTGATGACTGCATTTCGTCAGTGCTGTTTACTATCTATTTCAAGACTACTAGATCTTGGTTGAGCAAACAACTATCACTTGGTAGTAACTGAGACATACAACATCTATCTCTTAGCTGCCATTTAGTAATCAAGAATTTTGGGGCTCAGATCTAAAGCTGTGTTCTATTACATCATATCAGTTTCCTCATTTTTTTACATGTTTCCTTTTTTCAAAATAAATGTCTATGCGCTGAATTTCCTTTGCCTTGGAAAGAATGACAGTGAAATCATTAGAAGTGTTCTGTGATCATCTTTTTTGCGCAAAATTGTTTATGGTATATACTGCCTCCCCTTTTTCTGTAGTCTTATTTATCTAGTCAAAAATGTTAATTTGAAGTCCTTTATAATTTTATGCTTCTTCTTTGGATGTTTTCCTAATAACATTTTTGATGTTAAGATCAGCTTCAGTGTTCTAGTATAGGTGGTTCCTTGCTCAATAGTAGTAACTGTGAGAGGGATCTCAGAGTCCTAGTGGACAATCACTTAAATATGAGCCAGAAGTGTGCTGCAGCTGCCAAAAAAGCCAACACAGTGCTAGGCTGCATTAACGGAGGGATAGAATCAAGATCACGTGTAGTATTAATACCACTTTACAATGCCTTGGTAAGGCCACACTTGGAATACTGCATCCAGTTTTGGTCACCACAATGTAAAAAGATGTTGAGACTCTAGAAGGAGTACAGAGAAGAGCAACAAAGATGATTAGGGGACTGGAGGCTAAAATATATAAGGAACGGTTGCTGGAATTGGGTATGTCTAGTTTAATGAAGAGAAGGACGAGGGGGGACATGATAGCAGTGTTCCAATATCTCAGGGGTGGCCACAAAGAAGAGGGAGTCACGCTATTCTCCAAAGCACCTAAAGGCAGGACAAGAAACAACGGATGGAAACTAATCAAGGAGAGACGCAGCCTAGAACTAAGGAGAAACTTCCTGACAGTTAGAACAATTCATCAGTGGAACAACCTGCCTCCAGAAGCTGTGAATGCTCCAACACTGGAAGTTTTTCAGAAGAGACTGGACAGCCATTTGTCTGTAATGGTATAGGGTTTCCTGCCTGAACGGGGTTGGACTAGATGACTTCCAAGGTCCCTCCCAACTTTATTATTATTATTATTACTATTACTATTATTTTATGGCCTTTAACACACTTCTAGTGCTTTTATTGTGTTTGAGGACTGGTATTTATCACTACTATATCTGTCAAAAACTTCTTTTAAGATTTCAAGTTTGGGTTGTTTTTTAAAATCTCTGCACGTTTTGACTTAGAGAGGAACAACATCCTAGCCATTTTCCTCCCTAAGTTTCTATCCATAGGTATTGAGGAGATTATATGTTGTCATTTCTAATGTTTGTTGCCTGGCATTTTTAGCTATAATCCTCTGTCTTTTCAACTGGCTATTTTCCTGGGTTTTTTTTTCTTGTCCTATTCCCTTTTGGATGATTAACAGCATTTTCTGTCTCATTCCCTTTGAATGATTCATCCTAAAGTTAATATTCCCCAATGCATGCTGGCTTTTTCCTAGGGGCGTTTTAGCATGAGTTGGACGTATTAAGATATGTTGATCCTCTCAAAATGTTTCTGTATGTTATTCCTGGAACTGTGGGTAACCATTAGAAGTCTAAACAAAGCAAGAATTCTGAATCTTGTCCCCAGCTACAGAATTAAAGATAACTTCCACAATGCTTAAGGATATAATGTTTTCTTGTTGGCTTTTTACAATGAATATGTCTATTTATGGACAATTTCATTTGACAGTACAAAATAAATATTTGTGTATGATAATGATACAATTGTGGTAGAAATACATTTTGTCTGCCTATTAAGTCCTTCCGAAGGACCTGATATAGGCAGATATTGTTTAAAAGTATTAAAGATACCGTTGCAGGATGTAAGTTGTTCCAAATAAAAATGTCTTTATTGATAGTGATTTTGTCAATGCTGATGGTATTCAAGTGGTGATCCAAATGTTTTGGGATGGCACCCTATTGCTATTAATACTATCTTTGCTTTCTTTTGTTCCAGTTGCAGGTCTTTGTATTTTGTGATTTTCTCTAGTTCTTTATATTCTTAAAAGTATTTTGAATCCTCAGTGTCACCAATGGGGAATGAAGGATGACAGCTTGAAGCTGCTGAAAATTAAATGGACTGTAAACAGCAACTAATGTTAGAAGGATATAGCCTTATTCACCAATTGCTATTTGATTTTAACTCGGTAGTCTTTTTAAAGCAAAAGAAAAATACAGTAGAGAAAATTAAAATAATGCTGATGGTATGACTATAGGCATTGTAGGTTTGGTCTTATCATATCCAGCAATATTATCTGTTTTACCAGAACTCTCTTTTAACTGTGGAATCTTAGTGTGTGCACAGACAGAATACGGAAATGTGGTCATCTTCTTAACTTCAAAGAAAATGAAGAAAAAGACAAGATACTGCATGAATCTGGCTGTTTTTTGCTTTATTTGTTTTTGTTCGCTTCTGCTTAGCACTATGAAGATCAGCTAGTTATGAAATTAATTGTTGAATGCAATTAATTTTTGTATTTATAGTGTACAAATAGTAGTCTGGAGACTTTATTTTTTTCCTGTATTATCTACCAAATCTCTGAAGATTCTGTTTCAAGGGAAAACAGAAACTTTTATTGTAAATATTATGTAATATAGTATAAAGCTACAGAGTAGGTTTAATCATTGCTTTAATATAAGTTCAGATACTGTTTCAGTTATTAATAAGACTGAACTTCATAAACAGTTTAAATGCTACATAGTCAAAGCTCTTACATTACAGTCTTTAACAAGAAAAAATTGGAATTTAAATAACCGCCTTTATAAAAACTGTTTCAGTATTTAAGATGTAATAATAAAATAAGTATAAATAACTTTATTTTTGTAACAACAGGTCAAAACATAGTACCATAAGGTGTTACAGAAAAGTTGAGAAAAGGAAGAAAGAATCTCAAGATTTATGTAGAAATGGGTCTCAAATTAATATTTTGAGCAATATCAGGAGTAATAACACCTGTAATTATACAGAGTTGCACTTTTATGACAGGACTTCAGAAATGAAGAATTGCATTGATGTGGAGATTTGCATTGTTACTGCTTTGAAGGGCTTCTGATTTGATCTCCAAAAGATGCTTTAGAATCTGAGGAGCACAAATATAGTACCTGTTTCCAGCTTCTCAAAGCAATTTTGTCTTTTCCTGCACTCCCATGAGTGATGGGATTTTTGGAGATCAACTCCAAAGCACTTCATTGTTTTCCTGCTTTGCTAAGAATGTAACCAGATGTTCAGATTCAACTTTATTATTATTTTAATAGAACAAGGGAACACTCCCAGTATTGTATTTGATAAGCTTGACTAGAGTAGGAAACTAGCCAGTGGTGAAATGGAGTTAAAAGTGATGGTATGGAAGGGAGTGAGTCCAAGATTCTATGTCTTCCAAATATAATGGTGTTCATGTTAAAGTTTTTATATATTATGAAGTTCCATTATGCAAAATTGTAAGATGCTCTGCCAGTTCTTGCCTGTAATTTTGCTAGATCAGATTTTATTCAGTTGATTAAGAATGTATTCAGATACATTTTAGATATCTTTATTTTCCTTTAAAATATTAGTAATCCCCCCCCTTCAGAATAAAAATCATTTCTTTGGATCTGGATTATCTGTGGTCCAGTTATAAGTGCTTCAGCCTCTTGTTGTTTTTAAATTTAATCTAGCCAGTCAGTAAACACAGTTTTGTTTCCTCACTCCCCTCTTGTTATGTTCACAGATTGTATTTATTTTCAAACATCTGTCTCAAGGGAAAACTAGGAACTGAGGAAGTTCGAGATTATGCAGCAAGCTATTTAAAGGAGATTCTGTTTTAGAAGAGGAACCTTTCTACAAAACTGTTTGAGAAATGTAGAATATAATGCAATTTTGAAACCCACAGTAGCTTGTTTATATAATGTCAGATTGAAAAAATACACATAACAGTTGTAGAATTTTGTTTCATACTCAAGATTTTATTTTTCAACTGATGTAGATGTATTACATATTAAAAACATTCCTTTAAGTCTTTTTTTTAACCCATGGATTAGGCAGGGAAAAGGAGGAAATCTATTGTTTCTTTAAGACATAGAGTAGTTTGTTTTACCCGAATAAGCTAAACATCTCTTAATTTTGTATTTGCAGTAGCTTCAGTCTTTAGCCTCCATGTTCTGATTTGATGCTTACTATCGCTCTTCAAGTTGATTGCAGGTTTTGTCCAACTAATTTGATGTAAACTATCTAGGAGATCCTCTTACGATTCACCTATAACTCTAGATGTTTTTCAAACACACACAAAAGCACC